TCCACAGCCAGCCTGAGGGGCCAAAATGGAACTAATGAAGATGCCCCGTGTCCAAGTTAGGAAGATGTACTTCCCTCAGGCTGTATCATCACTCGTAGATCCATCGTTCAGCTGCATCCTCCCAGCACATCAGCTCCTCTGGGCGGAACCAGAGGGAGATCTCCTTCTGGGCACTCTCAATCGAGTCACTGCCATGAATCACATTCCTGTGGGGAACAAGAAAGAGATCAGGCTTGCAGTAAGCAGAGAAAGACTGGGGAGGGAAGCTGCAGATGGGAAACTTTCACTCCAACTGATTTAATTAAGCCTGCCAGGCCAGTCACATTGTACAGTATTCTTTCCCATCACACAGCTCTCCTTCTTGCTCAGGAGAACATGGCTTAGTGAACGTGGCTTAGGATGTGTAGGAGCTGTCAATTTCCAGCACCCTCCCTCCTGTATGGAGAAATTATTTATGTGCTACAAAGGAGCTGCAAGTGGCAGTTTATCTGAGGAATTTTTATTGTGTGTTTTAAAGGTTTGCCATTGATTTGCCTCCAGATTTCTCACTTCTTTCAGTGAAAGTAGGTCCTATAAAGCAGAATTGGTGTCAGACACGAAGGAACGAAAACCTAAGCCAGGAAGGTTAGTAAGAGCAACTACCACAAGCCAGGCTCAGCTGCAGCCACTAGAGGTCACCACTGGACAATACGCAGTGGTGAGAAGCCCTTATGCTTGCAGAACTGCAGCTTGGCTTTTGTTTCAGACTTGAATGCCCGGCAGAGCTGGGTAGCCTCCAGGAGAGGGCTCAGAGGGCTCCTCTTTCACAGCCTGACAGTCCTGATTCCCTGTCAAGCAAACCCCTCAGCTGCAGGGAGAAGAGGCCTCGGGAAGCATGAGAGAACTAAACCCAACCTGCTCCCTTCTGGCAAAACCAACCCAGGTCACTGTGTCCAATGTCAATACCTGAATGATCTGAACTTTGTTCTGCTGATGCAGCCTCGCATGGCTTGGGCAGGAATGCAAGGACAGGTATACACAGCAACACTCAGGGCACAAGAAGACAGACTCACTTGCCAACTTCAATGCAGAAATCTCCTCGGATGGTGCCAGGCTTGGACTCAGCCGGGTTGGTCTCTCCAATCATCGTGCGTGCCATCCTGACCACATCCAGACCCTGCCACACCTACAAAACAGCAAACAGAATCAGCTCCAACAGCTCACCCTGAAATCAAACCGCATCCTCTATATCAGCACAGCACCCAGAGGCCCTCAGATGGAGCCCTGCTCACCCATTCCCCCCAATACTCACCATAGCCACCACGGGCCCCGAGCTCATGTACTTCACCAGGCGGCCGTAGAAGGGCCGGTCCCGCAGGTCGATGTAGTGCTCCTTCAGCAGCTCCTCCGAAGCCTGCACACAACACACAGCCCTGCAGCCTGCCGACAAGGCATGGAACCCCTCCTGCGTCCGGGGACGCACCGAGGGCCCCGCCAGACCCCCGCACCTGCAGCAGCTTCAGCCCCACCAGCTTGAAGCCCTTCCTCTCGAAACGCCGCACGATCTCACCCACCAGGTGCCGCTGGACGCCATCCGGTTTGATGGCGATGAAGGTGCGCTCGGAGACACCGGAGCGAGCTGTGAGAGGGCACGGGTGTCAGGTGGAGGGGAAGGGAGGGGAGAGAGGGAAAAGGGGGAAAAAAGGGTGGGGGAAGAAGGGGGAGGAAAGGGGGGAAGGGGAAAATGGGGGGAAAAAGGGAGGGGAAAAGGGGGGGGGAGAGAAGGGGAAAGGTGGGGGGGTAATGGAAGAGATAAAAAAGGGGGAAAGGAGGGAAAGGAGAATTGGGATAAAAGGAAGGACGCCGGCCTTACCGCTATGGAAGACGCTGGCGAAGACAGCCAGCACCAAGCAGATCATGGCGGCGGCACTCTTAAAGGAACCGCTCCCTCCGCTCATGTGTCCGCCGAAAAGAGTCCCCCCCTCACCCACACCGGAACGTTTGTGCTGCGGCCGAGGGGCGGCGCCGGGGACTTTAGAGTGAGGGGCGCTCCGCTGCTGCCATGGCAACGGGTGCGGCCTAGCGGGGCCTGGGGCCTCCGGAGCCTGCGGGGTTCGGCCATGGCGGGCAGCGAGCGGTGCCGCCGGGCCCAGGCGACGTGGGAGGTGTCCGAGTCCGAACCCGAGGCTGAGCCCGAGCCTAATGGCCCCATCCCGGCTCCGGAGGGCTCTTCTCCGGCGGCAGCCACCGTACGGCCGAAGCGGCGGAGGGCGGCCGGGGAGGCCGAGGCCCAGAGGCGGGAGCGGCAGCGGAGGAAGGAGCGGGAGGCGCTGGAGAAGCGGGAGGCGGCGGCGGCATGGCGGCTGCTGAGGCCCGAGCGCTGCCTGCGGCTCCTGGAGGTGTGCGTGGATCCAGGTGGGCTGCGGGGCCTGGCGGGGAGAGCCGAGGGCAGCCCCGTGCTGCTGCTGCCTGCTGAGCGGCTCTCGGCCAGGCCAACACCCCTCACTCGGCTGCTGGTGGGGTTACATCGTGCTGGGCTGCTGTGGAGGAGCAGCAGTGCCGTTAGTATTAGCACAGATAAAGCAGCTCTTTTTCTTATTTCAGGGCTGATCTTTATTTCTCCACAGGTTTTCTTGAAGATCCTGGCTCAGATGTTTGGATCGAGGCTTTGAGTTCCCTGGGCTGTAAACATTCTTTTGAGCCTCAGGCAATTCCCTGCAGCATAACCTGGAGGAGAAATATGCCAAGCGTTCCATCTGCCCCAGTGAGTCGTCATCTTCTCTGTTGTAAATGTAATTTGACAGCAGATGTTTTGTGGGGAGAAAGCTTTGACTTGGCTTTTCGTCCTGGGTGCTGACAGCAGCAGCCTCAGGCATGCTGATTACCAGTGACCACAGATAGTTCAGAAGTAGAGCTGGAACTGGTCGTCATTCAGATTATTCTAAAGCCAGTGTTTTTTACGTATCTACACATGATTGGTTTAGGCATGTGTGCATCCAGTGATAGTCTGGGAAATCTGTAGTAAGCAAGACTGAAATGACCACAAGTTATTAATACAGAGATATTAGTTAGGTTGGCAGCAGAGCAGATGTTTGCGTATGGCCTGCTGTCACAGGCAGCATCTGCATGGCTGGAAAAGGCTGGGCAAGTTTGCTGCAGAGCCCCCAGCTTTGAAACTCTAGCGACTGCTTTCTGAATCCTGCTTGCTGGGAACCTTAAAGAGGGCAGGTTCCTCCTGGTACCACATACTGTGCCTTTTTCAGTTTGGCTTTAGTAGATGCTGTCTAAAACCTTGTAGTCACAAAGGTAGGCTATTCTTGTCCTCACCCCCACTATAAGAATTTCAGATAGAGGCAGAACTGTAGTTTGGCTCTTGTGGTCATATGATGACTATGAGGTGCAGACAGAGCTGTTTTATGTCTTTTTGGCTTAGATGGCAATTTCTGCAGTTGTCACTGCTTTCCTCACCAGGTCAGTTATTGCACCTTTGGTGATCTGCTTGTGTGGGAAAGTTCTTTCCCTTTCAGCTCAGCAGTGGGCTTTGACCAGCATAGCACTGCTGTGGTTTAACCCAGCAGGTGGCTAAGCTCACTTCTTCCCTTCCCAGTGGACTTGGGGGAGAGAATCTTGGGGGAAAAAAAAAGTTGAGCTCGTGGGCTGGGTTAGAGAAAAGAAAGAGGAGAAAAAGAATAACAGTTATAATAATTATATATGTCTAACAAGTGATTCACAAACAATTGTTCACCTGCCAACCAGTCCCCGAGCAGCAGCAGGCCACCCATTGAACTCCTCCCTTTTTCATACTTTCCTTCCACATAACATCATGTGGTATGGAATATCCCTTTGGCCAGTTCAGGTCAGCTGTCCTTACTCTGTCTCTTCTAGCTCCTCCTGCTCCCCTGTCCCCCTCACTGGCAGGACAATAGAAGAAGCTGAGAATACTAAAACATCCTTATATCCTCTATACAAAACTACTCAGCAACAACTAGAAACATTGGTGTGTTATCAGCATTGTTCTTCTAAAACCAAAACATAGCATCATATCAGACACTATGAATTAAAATAACTCTGTCTCAGCTGAATCTAACATGGCCTTGTGAGCGTTAGAGCTCCTAAAAGCATAGGCACTGCATAGGTGGAGACATGCTGGTTTTTGCATGTGTTGGAAATTGTTTCTTCTTCTTTAGGATGACTGTGTGGTGAAAACTGAAGAGGAGAAGGAGGTGTTGGTGTTGCTGGAGCCAGCAGATTTTCTAAAGCGTCTCTATTCCCTAACCCAGGTAATGTAGATCTCTGAGCCAGACCCATGCAGAGTGCCAGGTGAACATGGGAGGCAAGGGACAGTTCAATCATAACTACTATTGCTCCACCTTGAAACAAAGCTGTGTTACAGAGTGCAGCAGAGAACCTGTGTGAGAGTGCAGCAATAGTCTCTAGGGATAACGTGCAGGCATTTGCCTTTTAACCCACTACAGGATGCTGCTTTCCTTCAGAGGAGGATTGGGCAGGATTGCCTTGGGAGGATTGCCTTTCCTTGTGTTTAGCTTTTCCCTTTTCATTGTGCTTATAAAAGATATGCTTGAAAGAAACAATCAAAGTAAGCAGTCCTTAGAAATGTTTGCATTTGGAAGCAGAGAATTTAGTGGTTAGTTCATGTGCGTGCAGTCATGCAGTGTTTTATTTATACCTATCTAGGCAGCCTGTGCTTCTGCCCTGAGAAGTTCAGAGGCCATCCAGCGCAGTCTGAGAATAGAGAAGGAGAGGCTAGAATAGCCAGTGCCTGTGAGAAGGTCAGTGCTAACGCTCCAGGGAGAAAGGTGAGCCAGAAAAAAACCTGAATATTGGCAGAAGTGGCATGCTGCGCCTGCCCAAAGGCAGCACTCTCAGCTGCAGTCTAAGACTGGCTGCTGCCAGCTTCCAGTGATGAAAGTTGTCCTGGAAGTTTCCTGCTGTCCAGCCAGAGATAGGGAGGGTTTGTTTCAGAGAGGAAAACTGCTACAGACTTGGGTGTGATTTGTCTCGCTTCAGACTTTTGTTGATGCCTCGTCAGGGAGTCAGCCTGACCTGAACCAAGTGTTACCTTTGGCCAGCCTGGAGTGCTCCTCCACTAAAACCTACAGCCTGGCTGTCGTGGGGCTGGATGCCTACAGGTGGGATGTGCTGGGAATGTGTGGGGAGCAGCGGGGCTGGGAAGTTTGCCATGGGTGGAGAAAAGCATCTGTGCAGGAGGGACGTGTCTGGGGCTGAGCTGCTGAGCTTGGTGCCAGCATGGGCTATAAATCACAAGGTCTGTGCTCAAGAGGACTTGAGTTTTACTGTCTTGTGGATATACTTTGCAGACGGATTTAGAGCAGACTAAGGATTTTGTAGTTAGGTGTTTGTGGGTAAGACTACACTCAGGACCAGACAGAGGGATGCAGTGATACAGCTCTTGCTGCTGTATCTGCCTGTGCACCAAGCAGCGCTGCAGTGCCTTTCTGTTCTCAGCAAAGTGTGCAGCTCATGAAGCAGGGAGAGATGTTTGGTGCCTGAAGCCCTCATCTTGTTCCTGGAATGTATCATTCATGTGTTGCTCCCAGTGCCTGAGTGCTTACTGTCCATGTACATGCACAGCAGAGAAATTTCCTCTTCATGGTGATAGTGTAATTGTCCAGATTCTCCCACATCAAATCAGCTGCAGTAGCTAGGTCTGTCCTGTCCTATCCTTTCTGGAGCGTTTCCCAAGAGAGAGCTCTTGTTTCACCACTTCCTGGGCTCTTTCTCACTTAAGTCTGTGAGGATACTTTTTACCAAGTGTGTTATGTTTTTAAATAATCAGCCGTGGCCTGTTGAGTTCTGCCATCAAGGGAACCAAGCAGCATTTGCCTTAGTTTTGGGTCTTGTCTTCTCTTCTGCAGCCAGTTCCCTCCAGCTCACATGTAGATCTGCAGTCCTTGACACATAGGGGCTGCATGTGACATGCAGAACTGCAGCAGTGTGCCAGTGGTAGCAGTGCTGCCTCACCGGGGAGCTTTGTCTCCACCATCAAGTCTGACTGGAAGGTAGCAAATGTGGGTGGATTAAGTGACATTTTCCTCTTTATCAGACTGCCTGAGATGTGAATATGCAGTACATAAGTGTGAGCTGTGTGTCTTGCTTATAGGTGTAACCAGAAGCAGAATGGGTGGCAGGCACTGAGCCCCGGAAAGCGGAATCCCAGATCCCAGCCTGGCCCAGAGCTGTTCATGACTCAGCAGGAAATACTGGAGGTAGAATTTCTCATGCCCCTTGAAGTTTTATGTTACCTATGGTTGAGCTGTATGGAAAAGGCTCCCACTGGTGTGCCCTTCTGCATAATGAATGCTTGACAAGGAAGGTGATGGCTTGCTTGGATCAAGTTGCATCCATGTGCATGCTCCCTCACCCTAACTGACCATGAGCATGGGTTTGAGCCTTTTGTTTGGATCTGATCCTGCCTCCCCTCCCCAGCCCCAACAAAAGCTGCCTCGTTAGCTGTGAAAGTTGCTGTTGGTTCTCACTCAGGCCTCTGTCTTGCAAAGCCTGTGTCCCACAGCAGAGCGGAAGCACTCCTTGTGATAGCACAGCTGTCACAAACTAGGTCAAACAGGATATCCCTCAAACTAAATTCCTGCCCTGCCTGGGTACGTCCCAAAGGGGGATGATGACCCGCCGGCTTACTGGGAGCTAAGAAGGATGAGCAGGCTTTAGTACTCTTCTTTGTAAACAGAGCTCATGCAGTCATTCCAGCCTCCCTCCCCTCCCGCCCCATCTTCATTCTGCTGAAGGATGTGGTGTACCCCTGTGTTCTCCTTGCTCCTATCTCTGAGTGCTTTTGGTGGTCAGAGCTGACAGCAGCACTGCTGGCTGAAGTTGGAGCATGTTTATGAAGGAGGATGAGGGCCTCAGGTTGTCCTGGCCCTCCTGACCCTGTTTCTGTCCCATTAGTTGGCATCTTACGTGTTTCACCACTCTCATTTCTCTTCCAGGCACAGGTGGTGCTCCAGCTCTGGGGTAACATTGATGTACAGCTCCTAGACACATGGCAGGAATTTGGTGAGCACGTCTCTGCGCTGACTAAGGCAATAGCAAGGCGCCCATACAAGTGAGTTGTATTGCTGAACTGGACAAGTTTAAAGCCCAGAGCTTTGAAAAACCTCACTAGAAGCTACAGGAACGCTTACCAGTGACTGTCAGTCTGTTTTGGTTGATGTTAGGGCTTGGACTAGATCATTTTCAGTCCTCTGTGCTGCTGGAAATCAACTAATCTCACAGTGAATACAGTTGTGATTCTGCATGAAGAAAAGAGAGAAAAATGAGAACCTTAGGGAAATCTTTGCACCAAGATGTTCTGAAGCTTTCCAAGGAAGGAAAGAAAATATTGAGGAAAAAATACTAGTCCTGAAGAGAGAGGTTTTAGAAGGAAGCTCACTGCCCACACACTGTTCCCTGTTCTTGCTCTCAGCAGTCTGTCTTTTCTCCAGGAGTCAGCTGGAGATGCAAGAGTTGTCTTTCTGCACTGCTGGGGTCTCGGGCAAGGGGTTGCGAGTGGAGAAGGATGGTGCAGGGCTATGGCAGGTCTGGAAGAGACAAATCCAGCAGTTTAACAGAGTCAGCCCTGCAACAGCAGCAGCAATAGCAGAAGCATATCCTTCCCCTGGCCTCCTGGTACAGGTAAGTCCTCAAATCCCTTGGTTTCCTGTTAAAATCTTGCTGCATGGAAGATGATGGCAGGGAGGGGTGCCGCGTGTTTCCTCACTTAGAGGTCTTTGTTGATGGAGCAAACAAATTCTGAGTGTGAAATCAGCTCTCCAGAAAGGTGATGGTGGGTGTTTGACTTAAACCATAGTTTTGTTTCAGTACTAGCTACTTACTCATGGCCTTTCCTGGCCTCTTTACCTTCATGTCACCAAACAGGATCAGCTTGAAGTGTATTTGCATTTTTGCTTGTCCATTCCAGCCAGTGCAGTTGAGGGTCTGTTGTATGCATCCCATTGCCCTTGTTCAACATGGTCTGTCCATTGGCTCTGCTTGTTTTTGTTTGAGATGGATGATGTCACAGGTGGCTGCCATACAGTTGGACAATTCTGAATCGCTCCCTAGCAGAACACGTGTGTTGTCCCTGTGGGCTGTGAGGGAGTATCACAGGACATCCGAGCTGTCTTTATGCTGCTGGTGAACAGTCCAAAACCTTCCTGGCTTTTCATATGACCATAGAGGGAGCTGACCTAGCTCACTAAAATCTCCCTCTCCCTACTCCTGGAGGATCAGGATTAGAAAAGGATGTTGTCTGACCCTTCTGACAGCAGCTTAGCTATTTTATGAAGACAGGTTTGGTTGGTTTTTTTTGTCAACAAGTGCTTGTTTCCATTTGAGATGAGCATGAATCACTTAAGCTGTTTCCGTTAGATCAGAAACTGACAGAACTTTTTTCCTTCTTTTTTTCTGTTTAAGTCTTACATAGTCAAATATTCTCTTTTACTTTTCTTCTCCCAGATCTTTGATCTCTGCCCCTAGCATACCCTCTTCAGAAGAAAAGCTATCTCCTTGTATACTGAAGGGGCAACACACAAATCAGAATGTGTGTGAGGCCTGCTTGCAAGTTGTGGATCTTGATTCTTCTGAGTTTTATCCTCTGATGCCTGCGTGTTTGGGTGAATGCTTAGACAGGGATCCTCACTGCACTGATGGGATTGAGCCTCTCAGTGGAGAGTAGGGTCTTCTCTTAGAGCATCTATGTTAACTGCTTCATTCTTGTGTGTGCTTGAAGGCCTACGAAGAATGCAGCACAGAAGATGAGAGACTACTGCTGCTGAGTAACATCCCTGTGAAATCAGACATCAGTGGGAAAGACCACCGTGTTGGGCCAGACTTATCCCGCCGCATCTATCTCTTCATGGTTTCCACCAACCCCGACCTTATCCTGGACCTGACTGTATAGTGGGACCAGGAACCACGTCAGTCGGCCTCAATATTTTCTTCTACTGAACTCAGCAGTTGCTGAGCTGCCTCTGGCATGGCAGTGCTGCTGGGAGCCTAGCCTGTGGAAGCAGCTGGTTCTGTTTCAAAATAGACTTGCACATCAATAAATCTCTTGTTATAGATGCTTTCTTCAGCCCCTTGGCTCTCCTTTCCTCTTTTAGCTGCCACAGCTTTATATCCCTCTGCCTGTCTCCTTAAAGCGTTAAGGCATGTTTCGAGCAGGAGCTCCAAGTCTTAGTGGATTGGTTCCTCTGCTGACATAACTGTGTGGTAAGTCTGTGCTGCCTGTCAGGTATGTTACTGAATGAGCTAAATACTTTGTGCAACGTCCTGACTTTTATTGTCCTCCTGCCTGCTGATTCTTTGGTCCTGCTACTGCAGGTCTTGCTTGTGGTTTCTTCAGGAAGGTGGGTCCTGCTGGACTTGCTTAGAAAAACATTCATCAACTGTCAAAGCCAGCTGGCCAGAGAGAAACCACAGCCTGGGGTGCATGGAGCTCAAGGCAGGAGAGGCTGTTGGCTAAGCTCCCAACATAAGGAAATGCCAGATAAGCTCCAGAAGCTCTGTGTGAAATGATGGTCTAAGATGGGATTCTTTTGCCAAAGCAAATGTTGAGCTTCTTTTTTGGAAATAGTTGCAATAGGGACAGTAGGGATCAGGAACCCCAAAACTCTGAGGATTTGGTATTGCTAATTGCAGCTTTTCACAATGACACAGAAACCCCTTGAGCTTCTTCTCATTAAATACAGCTCCAAGCGACACCAACCAGTGCTGTGAAGGTGGGAGGGCACCCTCAGAATATAGCTCCTCCTTGCCAGTGATTCTTCTGGTTCCATCTGCTAATGCTTGAATTAGTTCCTGGGAGGAGAAATCCAGCAGGGCTGTTTTTTCTGGCGGGAGCACTGCTACAGATGGGTTGACAGAGAACCTGTCCTATTTAATTAAGGTTCTCATTCAGAGCCTGTAAACAGAGAGGCAAGAGCCATCTTTGCTTAAAGATTCACAATGTGAGAAGGAAAGGAACAGTCATGGGGAGCAAAAAGCTTTGCATGAAGCCTTTGCAGGTCTGTAATGGCCAGGAGAAAAGACAGCAGGTGGCTACCTGCATTCCCAGTTGCAGTGCTGGGAGAGAGCCTGTGAAGAGCACAAGCTGAAAGGCATTTCCCATCTCACCTATTTCAACCCTCCCCCAGTTTGCAATAACCTTTGCACTTGGCTGATGGCACCAGCTTAAATCATCTGTAAATGCACCACTCACTGGAAGAGAGTTTAAGGGCCATAGAAAAACATCCTGAAATGCAGTGATGTGTTCATCTAAGGACTCGCAATTATGCTGGCATGCAATACTGCAGGAGGACAGACTGACTGCAGGGGATTGCAACAGCAGGCTGCCACGGGCCCACAGTGCTGTGCTCCTCCCTACCCTGGCTGTGCCTGTCCACTTGGTCTCCCAGCAGCTTCTTCAGCACTGACGGGGAGAAAGAGGGGAAGCTGAACTGCCAGATGTGGCTATTTCAAGGGCTTCCAGCTGCATCGGCTCTGGGCTGGGTCCCCTGAGCCAGCCTGTCCTGACAGCACAATGGAAGCTGGCAAGAAGAACCACTCAGAACTTGATCCCTCAGCACAGTTTGTGCCCAGCCAGTGCTTGTGGCCTAATCCACAAGGAGCAGCTAAGGTGCTTTTCCTTCCTCTTTCCTGTCTGAAATATTAGGGCAGCTCAAACGTGAGAAAGCAGGAAGGCTCACTCTCCTGCGTGCCATTTGCTGGCAGTGCTGCCAGGCCACTGCTGGATTATTCACTGTTCCAGGCTCCAGTCCAACACTGCTTCTCAGCACATACAAGAAGGGGCCGGCTGTAGGCAATACACAAGTCTGTTAGTGGCTGTCCTACACACAAACTGCTCTGACTTTCTGTCTCTGGGGTGGGTATTTAGGGCTGCTTGAATGCAAATTGTCAGAACACACACATTAATAAAACACTGCAGTCTTTCCTTCCCATTTGCAGCTACAAGCATCGGCATGGCACTGCTGGAGCTCCATCCAGGCCTGGCTCTGATGTTCCAGTGAGCAGTACAAGGACCCTCCATGTGGCAGAGGCAAGGTAACCCCATCTAGATCTGACAAACAAATGCTGCATTTAAAATATCATCTCCAGGCTTCTAGCTGTACTTATGTGGTTATTTTTGACAAGCACGTTCAGATTCTTGCCTTTAAAGGTCCTAGGAGGAATGAAAGATAGTTTATACTTTTATTATTACAGTTTAATACAGTCTTTGATACAGGAGAAGCAGCAGTAGCCAACATGCAAAGCAATTAAAGTCATGGAGGGGGTGCTCAAGAAAGATCACTAACAGTTCAACTCTCTTAAGTAACTGCTCTTTCACAAGTGGCACAGGTGCATCTCTCAGAGCCCATTTCCCTAAATGCTGCAGTTCAATCATGCCCCACAGCGTGATGAATTCATTGCAGATACCAAACCAATGCACAGCAGTTAGGAGCGGGGGAGAAGGGTGCTGGTCTTTCATTTTGTCTTTTGATGAATCAAGTTAAGTTTGCAAGAAGTGTGCTTTGAGATTGAGAAGCCACCTTAAATCTCACCTCCACTGACAGTCTACAGCAAAGAGATTCTTCAGAAAGAGGTGATGGCTTTCATATCATCAGGAGATTAACTTCAGGTATCTGGCTGCAGTTTATGTATTTCACAGAGCTGATACCTCTTTGGGTCAGCGGGTATTTTCAATGCAAGTGATGAATGCTCAGGCTACAGATTCCAATCAGCACAAGAGAAATCTTCATAAACAGGTAGAAATAGATGTCCCCGTGAAGAAACAGGTGTGTCAGGCCTGGGCTGCCTTCACAGACAGCACAACAAAACCCCACCCGACTCCCTCAAAGCAGTCCGTCTGAAGAGACATCATGTCCTCCTGCACCTCTTCCTTTGGCAAGCCTCTGCATCTGAGCCACAGGAGCTATCTGAGTCGCTTCCTGATGACGAGGAGGAAGGCTTTGATGTGCTATAGTTCATGCTCAAGACCCACCCCAGTTTGTTGTGTAGCACTTGCTTGAGTCCTGGTGGCAATGGCAGCACCTCCAGCGTGTCCACATAGTCAGGGAGGAGCTGGCGCAGGCGGTAGCAGCACAGGTACTGCAGAGACGTGCAGCTGGCACAGGAGCGGATCACCTTCATGCTGCTCTTGGCTGCTGTCGAGCACACCATGGGGTAGAACTTCTTGTTCTGCAGCTTTGTAGCTGCAACTCCTGCAGGGGACAACACCAAGGATTCACAATAGTTTTGATGAGGTGATCTCACTCCTCCCACCCACCCTGAGCTCCACAAAGCTGTCAGAAAACACTTGGAAAACGGCATTTGAAATCCAAATCTGTTAAACAAATGTGAACTCTGCCCCACTCAATTTGTCTTGATCTTTTATTTGCTACTGTTTTATCCTGCAGTCCAGCTGCCACCAGAGTTCAACTACAGCTGCAGTGCTCCCCCATTCTGCCCCTGTGCTTGAAGCCTGCTGCAGCTGCCCTTGCTCTTACCAATGCACTTGCGGTTTTTGAAGAACGTGAGTGTTCCATGCCACGTGTCCAGATGCACCCCAATGATGGAGCCCTGGCCAAACCTTGAGGAGAAGTTTGTCTTGTCACCCTTGTGATGCAGTAGTCCTTAAAACAATAAACCTTGCATTCAGCAAAAAGTCTGCGCTTCACAAATTCACCCCAACTCTCAAGACACTTCCCTGCAAGCTCCCACTGGTACAGTCTCGGTCAGCACCTACAAAATCCCCCCCATCTCCTCATTGCTCCCTCCACACCCCCCCACTCAGAGCATATGATGAAAAGAGGGAAGCTGAGGTTTTGGAATACCAGACCCCAAGCAGCTGCACTGAAATCCTGAATCACTGGCATGCAAACTGCAGTCCAGAGGCCCTGAAAATTCACATGCTGGTTGCATAGGGTTTGCAAAATGCAGGTAAGGCTCCACGAGCTGAAAGCAAGAAGCAGCCTGTCCTATGCAGTATGATGCTTAGGCAAGCCCTGTAGGTGCGCAGGTGAATTGAACAGGCAGCAGCTCCCACTGTAATTAACTAAGGGATTCACAGGCCCTGTGGCCTTTTTGGCCATGGTCCCATTAAGACCATTTAATTCTTAAACCTGAGCACCTGTTGCTAACATTTCAGCTGTCCTCCCCCTAACACTGCCCTGTCTGCATTACCTGTGTAAGAGAGTCCCCAGCTGTCCTCATCCTTGCCCAGCAGGCTGCAGAAGGTGTGGCGGTATTTGTCCAGATTCACATCCGATGTCCCAATTCCCACCATCTGGGAGGCAAAGTCAAGAAGAACACAAGCTTAGCATCTATCTGCAGGAGCACAGAATGCTTCTAAAGCAACAAAACACAACTGAGACTCCAGGTCTCCCTTCCTTCGCTCAGCACAGCCTAACAAGAGGTTCTGGTAAAGCTAAGCTGAACGTTTCAGTTCTCTGTTGAAAGGTTTGGGCAGCGCTGCATTACAGAGCCCAGGAGCCAGACCACAAGGTGCAGCCTTAGCAGAACCAAGGGAGCTAACAAGGCTGTGGCCCATGTTAATGGTGGAAAGTGAGGCTGGACTGTGGCCACAAGCCACAGAGTGGTGCCACAGCTGAACACACACCAGCCCTGCAGGGGTGAAGCTTCAGGGGCAGGAAGTGACCGAGCTGAGCAGCACACACCCCAGCACACCCAGCAGAACTGCCAACCACAGCCTGCCTGGATGCTTCCCCAGGCTGAGGATGAACACCAGCACAGCCTGACCAGAGTCCTTGTTAAGTTTATTGCTGGTAATCTCCAGGGAAGCAGGAAAATCAGATTCTAGTCACAATTCCTCTGGTTTTGGCCTAAAACTGCTTATCCTTCCAGCTTCAGTTTTCTTTCTGCTAAGTGAGGATGCCAAGGTGAAACACTGAAGGAAGTTTGCTATCCCATTCAGAGACTACAAGGCATTTCTAAGTGCCTGTAAGCAACTTGGTTCTACGTACCATATCTGTGCCATACACTGGAGAGGTCATCTTGATTTCCCAAAAATGCTGCCCGTCTGCCAGCTCCTTGTTGCCCCGGATAGCCGCAGTGCCACAGCTGTACTCCATGTGGAAA